AAAAAAAAAAAAAAAAAAACTACATCCGGACAAATTCACCTACACAACCGCTCGTTAACATGAATCTGAACAAACACAAACTCACAACATGTTTAGTAAATAACAATTTATTCAAACAGTAGAAGTTCTGGAGATTTGGTCCCTGATTTTAAAAAGATCATGATTCAGATACACGATGCAAAACAAGGTTTTTTTTTTTCATGGCAACTGAAGAGAAAGTGACGGATTTATTTTCCACTGAAAACCCGTCGTTAATAAAAACAGGAAATGTTTTGGAAGGGGGGGGGGTGGGGGGGTTCGGGCTGAGCGGCTTCAGAGTTTGACCCTTAACTTTGCTCTTAAGTGACGAGTGAGTTTCCCACTTCCTGGCGTAATAAGACCACGTAGCTGGTGTTCAGATCGAGAGGCAGCCGAAGAAAACACTGAATTATTACAACAGTTAACGTACGCACAATTAAAATGTGTATTCAACAGGTCACAACCTTTTCTGTTCTAAAAATATTCACAACATGTAGTTTTAAATATTTCACTTAAAAAACTAATCATGCCGGAGCGACAGTAAAAACTATGAATGTGTGAAGAGGCACGAAAGCAGAAGAAAGAGCTCGACGCTGCAGCGACTCGAGGAGAAGAAGAAGAAGAAGAAGAAGAAGAAATGGTCTGAAAAAGTTCTGAAAGTCTTCTCGGCTGTCGGCTCACACGTCCTCTTCCTCCTCTTCCTCCTCGTAGAACCGGTTTCTTTTGATCATCTCCTCCACTGTCAGCGCCTCCTCCTCCTCCTCTTTATCATCCACCTCCTCGCTGTCCCAGAATCCCACGTCCTGGGACGACCTGCTGACCTCCACCTCGGCCTCAGGAGACAAGACGGCCTCTGTTGGCATCTCCTCCAACACGCCGACATCTTCCTCCTCCTCCTCCTCCATCTTCTCCCCCTCGTCTTCCTCCTGCTGCTGCTCAGCTCCTCCTCCCAGAGCATCCTCTTCCTCCTCCTGGGCGACATGATGCTCGGTCACCTCTTCGCTCTTCATCTCCCCCTCCTGCTCCTCCTCCCCTGAGCTGGTGTGAATGTCGACGCAGTTGTCTTCGGTGGGCGTTTGGCCGTCGGGCGACTGGCCGCCTCCGAGCTGCAGCTCCATGCCGGAGGGCTCAGGGCTGAGCTGCTCCTCCGCAGGAGGAGGTGAACTCTGCTTCCTGGAGTCCGGACTGGTCGCCAGCGTGAAGGGGAGGCTGCGCTCCTTCAGGGAGGAGCTGCGGCGCAGACAGGACGTCTCTCTGGCCTGTTCTGTGGGTGAGGAGGCGGAGTCTTCCTCTGGGGGCCACTTGGCTCTGATGGGTTTACCAGCAGACCCGCCCTCTGCGGTCGCTCCGCCCTCCTCCGGCTCGGTGCGCGGCGGCCAGGAGATTTTGAGTCGGCGGGCCTCGGTGGGTCTGTCGGCCTTCTCTGACGACCCCTGACCCAGAGCCTCCATCGTGGCCATCAGAACGTTGACTTTAGCCAGAGGGGAGTCCTCCACACTGGGGCTCTCCAGGTCGGAGGCCGGGGCGGAGCTCTGGATCTTCGGCGGCGAGGACTCGCCGGCGTCGCCTTTGCTCTCCCACAGCTCCTTGTGGGGCCGGTGGCCGAAGCCCTCGTCGTAGTTGCCCTTGGCCTTGAAGAGCTGGCTGAAGTGCGGCTTGCAGTACACGTTGTTGTGCAGGGAGGCGTAGTTCACCAAGCTGGAAAGAGGACGATGCAGTTAGTGACCGAACGGAAAACCATGTTCGAGTTGACTCAAACTTTTCTTATCTCAGTTCGACCCGACGTGTAAATAAGTTCACTGGGGATCTCTGAACCCGGCCTCACCTCAGCTTCGTGTTGCAGTGCGAGCAGCGGAAGCAGGAGCTGTGGTAAACGTGCTGATTGGCCACCAGCCTCTCCAGAGGATACACCGTCTTCAGACACGTCACGCAGCTCTCCCTCACCGGCGGCCGGAAGCTCTGCGCACGAAAACCAAAATCTGTCACCGACACGAACGCGTGCGTTAAAAGCTACAACGTGTAACTGAGCAGCAGCGCCCCCTGCAGCCACACGTGGTTAACTCTGTTCAAGTGATGAATTTCATTTGGATAAAAAAAACAATTAGTCAATTAACTAAAAACACAACTGAACGCTGGATGTTACCCATGATCCTCTGCTTCCTGAACCAGAGGAGCTGCTGCTGTAACAAATCCACAGAACTGTTCAGAGTTCATGTTCTAAAGTTCGCTGCTGAACATCGGAGATAAACTCTTGGTTCTTAATAACGTCTCAGTGTTTTTGAACTGATCTCAGTTCAGCTTCACTCTTCAACTGTCTGCAGCCGATTCAGCTGAAGCTGAGACTCCGTCACTTCTTCTCACAGGAGATCGAACCCTCTCAGCAGAGTCACAGAGATCTCAGCGAGCGAAGGAGGACACTGTCTCCATGTTCCTGCGGGGGGGACTTACTCTGGGAGTCTTGGGCTGAGACGAGTCTCTCTGATTGGACGACACCGGGGTGCCAGGACCGGAACCTGAGGGATCAGAGAGCAGGATGAGAGGAGGCACCGACACGTTGTGAACACAAGGGGGAGCTGTCTCCACGTTTAATAACGTCACAGGTTCCAAAGAGTAAATATGAATAAATGAGATTCCTGCTCTGATAAAACATTTATAATTTATGGATGAAGGTTCTGATGAAGAGTGGAAAGTCACCGTTGCTCTCTGCTGTCAAAGCTTTTCTGCCGTTTGCGTCGGACTCTGGACTCTGAACCTGAAGAGAGGAGGAGACGTTCATTGTGTTAATTATGATCATTTGAATCGTCTGAACTTGAGCTGACGCCGTCGTGACGCTGTTTGTTTCCTCACCAGGTCCAGAGAGCACGGAGGGACGTTCTCCTTCTGCTTCCCACAGAACGTGTCCAGCTGATCGCTCTGAGAGACAAACAAAGATATTTCAACCCTCTTCATACACGACTCCTCGTTCAGACTCTGAACTCTGACTCGCTGCCTGTGGCCTCTTGACGCTCAGATGAGCCTCATCTTGGCCGCGGCTGCAAAGTTGGTTTGGTTGATTGGATTTGGACGAAAGCACGAAGCAGTCACCTTGAAAGCTTCAGCGCCGGAGCGGAGGAGGCGGAATCAGATCCAGACTCTCAGTCTCCGGGAGTTAAAGTTTAAAAGTTTCAATTTAAAAAAATAAATAAATTCAGGGTCAGACAATTCCCATAATGCAAAGCGATGGCATCATTTGTAGCTGGATTCTGACACTTATTCATTCATTTATTTTTTTTTTTTTACAGATTTATTTATTTTTGTTGTTTTTTTTGCTTTTTTTATTTAAACTCTGTTTTATTTCAAATTGATTTCTTTAAAAAATATGATTGTTCGTTACAATTGAAAACTAAAATCTATAAAATCTATATATTTATATAAAGACTTCAGCTCGATGGTTTTATTACACAGACGCCTAAATGAGACTGGAGGCACCGAGCCGCCCCCTCCCCCTCCCCCCCCCACGCTCCCGGGCCGAACCCAGTCAGAGTTTCTTTATAATAATATGTGATAAGACAGTGACTCACAGCGACGTCCTGTTTGGAGACAGCAGCTTGGTAAAGAGCCATCCTGTCCCGGAGAGGAGTGGACTCAGCAAGACTTCCATCTGGTCCAACGACACACACACAGACACACACACACACACACACACACACACAGACAGACAGACACACACAGTTTAAATTAATTCACATGAATCAAACCTTGCTCACGGTGTCGTGGACTCGATGAGGAAACTTTGTCTTTGGGGATTTTCTCTTTAAAACTGAATGGACGGAAATTCCGGTTTTATTTTATCTCAGTAATTTATTTTCACAGGAAGTTGAATGAATTCTGATTTTCACGAGTCCCCATTCCTGATGTGTTCCGTTCCCTTCACTGACTCCAGTTCTGACGGAGCAGAGACTGTACACATCGGACATTCAGGCGTCGGACCGGAACACGAGGTCAGGGGTCGTGTGCAGAGCGAATGGAAACCGGAGCTGGTCTCTTCCTGTGCGTCCTCCCTCCGTCCCACCTCCCTCTCTCTCTCTCTGAAGCAGTCAGCTGATCACGCTGGTTTCATCACTCCAGAGCTTTTTTCCATTTTCTGGAAAGGACGTTTCCAGGACTCGCAACCTCAACTTTACCGTTTTGGTTCGTCAGCAAAGAAGAAGCTGACTAACGAGTCTGAGTTTATTATATATTATTATTATTATGAATAATAAAGATGCTAAAAGAGCCACACCCTTCACTTCTTCCTGTAATTTATCTTATTGTTCATAAACAATAATAATTAAAGAAGCTTTGAAACGAAGGAACATAGTAAAAAGGTTGTATTCATATATTTGTAGGTTTAACGTGTTTGAAAACATCTGTAATACACTCAGGTGCATCAGTGACATCACACATGGAGATTTAACTGCTGAGAGAATAAAATTACATTTTGAAAAACTGGATGTTCATGTTTTCAGAATCTTTAGATCCAGGAGAAGAGAGTCTGAGGGTTTAATGGATGAAGCCTGTTCAGTGTCACACACAAGCTTCAGATCTCTTACATGAAACATGCAAACAAACCGTACCTCCTAGCAGCTGCTCCATGTTATCGCCCGTCTGTTCTCTGGACTCCTGCAACAACAACAACAACAAGGTCGACATAAGTCAAAGTAAAAAACAGCTTCATGTGTCATGTGAAGCTTTTTTTTTTTAAACAACACAAAGTCTCACATGTTTCAGTCAGTGGAGCAAACAGAGAAGAAACACTCGTGTCCATCAGGGTGATGAAGTGCAGATGGATGAACAAAATGAGTGTGTGTGTGAGTGTGTGTGTGTGTGTCCAAATCACTTTAATCCCCTTATGGGCTCAGAGAGACGGAGTCTGAGACACACACTCCGTCTGTTCACAGTCGGCCACAAAACAAACAGATCATGTCACTGTTTTTGTAAATTCTATTAATTCACCTGAAAACTATAAAAAAAAAAAACATAATCGATGGTTCAGAGATTTCTGGCTTCGGACGAGATTCGTTTTCAAACCATCAAGAACCAAAAAGAAAAAGAAAACCTGACGCGCCAAACAACAGAACACGAGGGAGCAGACACGAGACGTGCACGAGAAACTACCAGATACTTACATGTGTGTGTGTGTGAACATATGTTCATCACATGTATGATGGTTTGAGCTGATGATCAACAACACGTCACCAGAGAGACGGACACTAAAGTTTGTGTGTGTTGAACTTTTCACAGACACGAGTCACAAAGTTCACAAACACACTAAACAGACAAACAGTGAAATGAATGAAGCTGGTGAATAAATCTGCTGAACGCCTGTTTAAACAGTTTGGAACAGTGAGAAGTGATGAATCCACAGAAAATCTTCACTCTCAGCGTCTCGCAGCTCGTTTTGGTTTCAAGGCTGTTGTCAGCACAAAAGAAGACGACACACACACACACACACACACACACACACACACACAC